CATATATTAAGTAAAGACTATCAATTAAATGAATAGGAGAATTGTTATCAACTGCTATTCCTTTGATGATATTCAATTCAGCTTTGAATTCGTCATTGTTCAAGGGTATTGTGAAAAGTCTATGAAAAAGTGCATATAAAAGCTGAATATTTTTGACTGTATGGGTGGAAAGAATTAAAAGGTATAAAATTCTCAGTACTAGTTGATTTCCTATGGATTGAAAATATGAAAAAAAAAATTTTGTGTATCAAAATATCAAGAAAAGGTAACTGATTATTAGATTCAATTTCCAAAGTAAATTCTATTCTGGGATTGATAGAATTCAAAAAGAATATCATTGATTCAAGTAGGGCACCTTTAAAGACAACAAAACTGTAATCAACATATCGGTGCCGAAAAACAATTTCACGTATGCCAATTCAGAATAGAATACTGATAAGCCTTCTAGGTTCAGAATTCCTCTCAATATGTCACGCCTATCTCTTATTCAGGAAGATTGTGATTATATTTCTTTCAATAAATTGTGAGCAAGTTGGAAGTTCATCACGGAAACGGGAAATTTAGAAAATAGCAAAGATTTGGAAAGTAAATACCTGGAACAGTTAAATCCAGTTTCTCTAACTTTCGTGCTTCAATATCCTTAATATAATCGAAACGAATATTGTCAAGTTATGATGGGTAAAACAATGTTCAAAAGTTTATCAATTTGTATTTATTATACTCATTCATCATTTATATACAGCGGTCTCAGATGATAAGTACATTGACTTTTTTCTCGACTGGTGATATACTGGTACAATGAATGGTTCATTGTACCAGTATATCACCTGACGAAGCTTCTGTGTTAGCGAAACATATGTCGTGTGTTTGAGAATTTTGTGGAAATCTTATCTTTTGTGAAGTTTTTACATTTTCAATGGATGTAATTCAATATCCGTCGTGGCATATAGCCAGGAAAGTAGTTGTTTTCTGTTGAATAAACCGAGAAAGAATTAATATTTTCATCACATGGAGAATGCGAGTTCTCAATGTATTTCTTCATATATATATCTTTTTTACCTTGTCTCTTCTCGGCAGTTACTCTTTGAGAGGAGGACAGCCCTTTTCTTTTCTCTCTCTTCTTTTGTGGAAATCTTATCTTTTGTGAAGTTTTTACATTTTCAATGGATGTAATTCAATATTCGTTGTGGCATATAGCCAGGAAAGTAGTTGTTTTCTGTTGAATAAACCGAGAAAGAATTAATATTTTCATCACATGGAGAATGCGAGTTCTCAATGTATTTCTTCATATATATATCTTTTTTACCTTGTCTCTTCTCGGCAGTTACTCTTTGAGAGGAGGACAGCCCTTTTCTTTTCTCGATTGATATATCGTTAGGTGGCATTATCTGCACAGAACGGTTCATGACCAAAATCTGCTGCTGCTACAACCGGCTTTATATTTTTTTCGTTGCATACAAATCTCAGAGCAGTTCCCAAATGTGATTCTTGCCTTTATCCAATGAACATTTCTGCGTAGGTTCATGACGTGGATCACTTTCTCTAGAGATTGTGGCGAATGACCTGAGGATTCAGACAACTTTCTTCTTTTCTCCATCTTCAAATTATCAGTATACTTCATGAGGGACGCTCTGTCCAGTTGTGCATCAACCGCCAATGCTGTGCATTTGATGGCTTCATAATATCATATCTATATATCTATCATCTTTCATCCCTTGGAGCATACGAATGGAAATTCCTATATGATGTTCGAAGAACATCGTACGTACCTAGGATGGATAGGGAGAAGAGGTAGACGAACGTGTAAAATGTTGTTTGATTTGTTTCAATAATGACAACGAAAGAATGTGCTGACTAGGCCTGTCGAGTTCGTCTCAGTGGTATTGCTAGTGATGGAATGATTTCTCAGGAACATTTTCCTTGGAAATGTGAAAGGCCAACTCATCTACGGGGTTCTGATGAATTCAAAGTATTAGTGAGGGTGGCATCATCAACCAGGCGAATGGTTCTAAGAGCACCAGCGTATGTTGATGAACCTCATATGAGAAAAAAATATCATAAAACTTGCCGTATCTGTGCATTGCAGATCATGAAAAGCTGTTAAATTGTAAAGTAGATTTTCGCACGGCATACAAATCAGAGTTTCTGCGAAGCAGCTTTCTCGATAGATCGGAAATAATTTTTATTCCATGAGAGAGCATTGCTGATGGGAATATCGAGCATGGGTTGAGTGGTCTTGGGGGAAATCATGGTACCAGAAATTTGTTCATCAGGCATACTGAGTTCTATACCTTTCTAGAAGTAATACAAGCTCGAGTTTCGGTGGCGTTGATTTCAACTAGGTTATTGGTTCTCCAGGCTGTAAATTCAGAAAGATAGTCATTGACAGCATTGACCTGCCTGCGTCGTAGGTTCTGAGATTCCTACGAAGAAATAGAGCTCTAGAACAGAACGCAGTATGAAGAGTATTATCGTCAGCGAAGCTGAAAATGAGGCAAGTGGTTGCTCCCAACAGATCATTAATATGAAGTAGGAACAATGTTGTTGCCAAGATTGATACTTGTGAAACGCTGGAATTGATGGCAGTCGTATCAGACGATACTCCGTCCCCCACCACCAAGAAAGCGATCTGCCTGAAGAAACGATGAAAGATTGTATAGCTTGGTCCTTGGCATGTCCTTGGTGTCAAACACGGTCGCATGCCCTCGACATATCCAACGCTATAGGTAGAGATTCCTTATATTTTTTTATCGAAGCTTGTCAAATATGAGTGACGTAGGCAAGTGAATCTCCAGTTGATGTTTGCTGGCCAAAGCCATATTTACAGATATTTGATGTGGTCAATGTTGATGGCTTTCGTTATCACTTTGAAGATGAAGACTAATAACATGAAAATTGGTCTATAGTTGTTGTGCAGGCTTCCGTTTCTTTTTTCGAATTGGAGGGCTCTAGCTATTTTTCAGCGAGATGGAAAAATACCCGACTTGTATGAGATTAACTTGCAGAGAATCGGTGTCAATTCTGGTGCACACCAAGCAGAATGCGTTCGGGTCCTGTGTTGACAAAAGACGATTTCGGGCATTCGACTTTCAACGGGTAGAATGTCTGCTGGCACTCTTCCCTGGGAATCTCAGGTGGAGGTTGCTGCGGATATCTCTGCAAAAATATCTGCTTTCTCTTGCGAAGTGGTTGCTAATGTACCGTCGGCTTTGAAGAGTTGTGGAAATGAACTATAAGTAAAATTCTTTCCGACAGTTTCAGCAAGGGAACAAAACGAACAGGAGCCATTGGGAGAATCTATGAGTTTCTATTTAGCATCGTACAATTCGTTTGATGCTTTTATTGTTTGGCTGCAGTCGTTACTGGCCTCAACATATTCTGCATTCTGCAACATATTCTTCTAAGCGTCATGGTCTCTGGTATTTCCTCAGCACACTGTGAATGATATTCAGAATCAAACCACCAAGGAAACTCGTAGAAAAACATGCGGAGACCGTTTCAGTGTCCTGAGTTATGATGACATACGAGGCGTGGGGGTGTTGGTGTAGTTGATGAAATGAAGAATAGGCAGCTTGTGAAGATGGGTGTGTGATCAGAATTGCCAAGTGGAGCTCGTACATCTATGGTGTAGGGTGCTGAATTACCATTGAGGAATAAGTGAAGTATATGGGCAGAACGGTTATTGACATCATGAATTCGTGTGGGTTCCTTAATGAGCTGATTTAAGTGGTGAGTGATGGCGGAAGCTCCACCTTGTCGCCCAGTTTCATCCGTTTTGTTTGAGTGTACTTGCCAAGCAGTGTTGTATTCATTGAAATCGCCCATGACGATGTTTTCTGCTGCTGGATGGATCTGCTGAATGAGGTTCAGGAGCAAAAACTCGGAGAGCTCTTCATAGTATGGATCATTTGGTGATAAGTAAAGAGAGCAATGGTATTTGATCTGTTTATGGCTATCATGTTCAAGAGACATGGGAGATTTGTTTTGGAATAGAGGCACATACCTTCCTTGGACCTGAAGCGTATGTGGGGCTCGTACCCTGCACAGAGCATATTGGTAGAAAAATTGCACTGTGTGTCAGTTAGGGCCAATATGTCTGGCTTAGTTTTAAGGTGTCGATAGACATCGTTGATGTTTTGTTTATGCCACGGATATCACGTAGGCCGATTCTGAAGCTTTTATTAGCCGATGGGAAACCCCTTCTAGCACCTCTCGCCCAGAAATCTGAATGAAGAGGTATTTCACTTCCGGATAATTTTACATCGCTTCTTCTGTAGGTATTGGAGAGTAATAACGTTGGCGTGAAAGGAAAAAAATATTGGATTGGTTTGGGTTGGCCAGAATCATCAACCAGGCACTGAAACATTGGTCTAACCCATTTCACAGCGCCTAGGGATGTGTTGGTATCGCACCTGACGAAGGTGTGAGTCATCTTCCACCTATTGACCTATTTTAGTCGCTTTCTACGACATGCAGGACTAAACCGTGGTGTTATTCTAATCCGACCCTCCTATGCTCCTACAAATATAATATCGAAGACTTGAACGTTTGGTACTTTAATCCTACTGAACCGGTTTACCACCGGCAATAAATAATGAAAGACTGTATCTAATTTTATTGAATCGTGAAACGATTAATATGAATTAGATAATAATATGTGACGTGGATACGACTAGTGTGTAAAACCCCATTGTCGCTGCGATGTGAATGATTTGGTTGCTTATGGTATGAACCCAGAACTATATACTGAGTGTGATGAGGGATTCTTGAAAGAAACATATTCATGAACTCGACAAAATATGAGTTATGACTTTATGAAAAGTGTTGCCATCAATGACATATTGCAATCTCCATATTATCTTCTTGAATTCTAAGAAATCGCAGAAGCCCAAAACATAACTCCGAAGTGGTAAATGACTAAAATGTTATGCTCCAGTCAGCTGACTAGATCAATAATTCGATGAAAGAAGAGCTCATGATGAAAATATTTTTTTTTTCAGAATCTTGGGCTGGAAACAACGAGAAAAAGCTACTGCACAAGCTACTAGATCACTACAACGTATTAGAACGCCCTGTCGCCAATGAGTCTGATCCTCTTCAGCTGAGTTTTGGTTTAACTTTAATGCAGATCATTGATGTGGTGAGTTGACTTTTACCCCTATGCTCATATTTATTTATTTACCATATCTAATATATCATACAAACATACATCATATAGTTCAACTAATATAATCATTATAATAATATGAAAGTTTTACTTTGCATCTAGGTGCAAGCACCTGTATATGCATAGAGATAAACAATTTTTATTTATGTGTAAGCGACAAATTTGAATATAGAACATTACATGTTATTCTCAAGGGGATGCATAGAAATTGGAGTTTATTAAAACTGTTTTCTACAATATTGCAATAGACCCAAAACAACTTAATTTTCTAAGATTTCTAGAAAGGTAACTAAATTGTCTACAATATATGTTGTACAACTAATGCGGAATTTTTTTTATATTTTTCAAATTCCTTATTGACAAAGGTAACAAATTATAAAACTTCGGACCAAGATAACTAATAAATCTTTTATTAATATTTTTCGAACTTTTTGGTATTCTAACATGTCTAACTTCTACACTACGCGTTCTATGAATATTATTGACAATTTTTTTTTGTGAAAGTATATAGGTACACACATTGCTTATATAAAGTGACCTAACATCAAGTACATCTCTTTTTACTTGGTTCTTTGGGATTTTCTCTCCTCGTTTCTATAAAATAAAAGTATTCGTATTATTTCAATATATTTGTAGAGGGACAAATCAGATGATTTGCCCCAAAATGTCACTGCGTTTAACAAATTTTTCTATCAGGGAGTCTAAAAGAAAAATCCAGTAGCTTGTCAGTGACAATTTGTTTGAAAAAATTTTTGAAGGAAAGAAATATAGATATATTGAAAAAATATCGAATTTGTACTTATCTTTGGACGTTTCGGGACCGATTCTGCTCCCGTTCTCAACATGTAAATGCAAATTATTTTTCTTTGAAAGTTGTGCTGCGTATAGTTTGACACTTTTCAGTGTCATACTGATGTTGGCATATGAATGAGTAATTTTAGTCTACAAATGAGTTACAGGATGTTTTCATTAATTGATCTTGAATCTACCATTTTCATGTTCAGTTTTCAGTAGTGAATACCATGTTCTATCTATATCAACTGAACAGGAAGCAATGCTATTGTCTCCGTTAAGAAGAATGCAAGCGGATTCCTTTATTTTTCTTTTTTGTTTGTTATCTTTCTTTCCTATGATTTTGATATTATTCCACTGTGCCATATGTTGTCCATCTTCAGTGAGGATATGTTCAGTTAGCTTCGATTTATCGATATGTCTTTTCTTGATATTGTACTTGTGTTCTTTTGTCCTTACTGAGAGAGGTCTCTTCGTTTCACCTGTATAATACAAATATATTGAAATAATACGAATACTTTTATTTTATAGAAACGAGGAGAGAAAATCCCAAAGAACCAAGTAAAATGAATGTACCACCTCCTCGATTAACCTACAGACAGTATTTGAGTACATCTCTACTGAATAGCAGACGAGTGGGATAGTCCTTTTTTTTTATGAATAACTTTCAGAATGTAATTCTGTATGACGTTTAATTTCCGAACAGATCTCGCATATAGACCACCCCAGACCAATATCCCATATCGAATAATTGATTCCACCAATGCTTTATAGATTTGGATCAAAACATTCTTATTTAGAAAATCCTTTAGTTGATAGAACTTATAAATCTGTTGACGTATCCTGTTAGTCAAGTAGTTTATGTGGTTATCCCATTTCAAATTTTTATCAATAATCATGCCAAAATATTTGATTTCCATCACCTCTTCAATTTCTTCAGAAATGTTATGTATTGCAATCTTATTGAAGTTGGGGCGTGAATGATCTGTAATGGTGAACGAGATATATTTAGTTTTTTTATATTTAATGATAGTTGGTATTTGTCGAGCCAATTTTTAGTAGTTTTAATTCCTTTTTTGCCATTATCTCTCACCTCATTCCATGTCAGTGCAGTAAAAACGTAAACAACAGTGTCATCTGCATGAGAGACAACTTTAACCATTACATTTATTTTCAAGAGCGAGTTTATGTAAACAATAAATAAAATCGGACCCAAAACAGTTCCTTGTGGGACTCCCATCTTTATTGTTTGAGTGTCACTTAGGTTATCTTGGATCCTCACCTGTCGTGTGCGATTCATTAAATAGCTACGAAATATATAGGATACAGTTCCCCTAACTCCATAGTAATAGAGTACATTCAAGAGTTTTTCGTGGTTCACCGTGTCAAAAGCCTTTGCCAAGTCTAGGAACACACCAATGCATTTCCTATTATTGTCTAGATTTTTTGTCATTTCTTGAGTTATTTCGTACATTGCATCACTTGTTCCTAGACCCTCAAGGAAACCGAATTGGTTTTCATGTAATACTTCATTAGATTTCAAAAATGCAACAAGTCTCTGTTTAAGGCACTTTTCAAAGACTTTCGCGAAATTTGTTGTCAAACTTATTGGTCTGTAATTGGCTATTTTAGTTTTATCTCCAGATTCATGAATTGGTGTGATGATAGAGGTTTTGAATTGTTTGGGTACTGAACCGTAATTGAAAATTAGGTTTATTATATGAGCTAGAGGTTTTATAATATAGGGGTGTACGATCTTGATAGTTTTAGAAGTGATTCCGTCAAGTCCAGGGCAACTTTTATTTTTCAATCACTGATTCAATAGTTACACCATATATCATTCGTTCACATTCATATCAACGTGTCATCTTGCCTACTCTCACACAAATTACACAAATAACTATGGTTTTGTTAATATACATGTCTGTTGACAACATAATTGATTCTAGGCTAGCCTTTCATTGACATAGTGTCAGAGGTGGTCCAATAACTAATTAACAAATTGATCTGGTCTTAGTGAGCTATTTGTATGCATTCGACAAACAGCTTTCAGTGACAAGGTGTTGATATCTACACGATGCATTGCTCCTCAATCTAGCGGAGTAATTGTATGGGCTGATTGGTGGTGTGTCAACTTGAAGTTGATAGGGAACTCTCGATAAAATGACTGAATATAGAGGGTGCTATTTAATTGATGGCTGAAAATGTTGTCCTAGCTCATTATGAGAAGAGCATTTCATATGAACATATGCCCTACCTCTTAACTTTCGAGCTATAGGATGTTAAAATGTTTTCTTATCATAACTTCAATATGGTTCTAGATATTCTTCTGGAATTCGACGTGCACTTACTTAGCACCGATATGCATTAATTGATGCAGGAGATTTTTTAATATTTCTACCAGTGGCGTCCGTATGAGATGTATACTTGAGATTTTTGCAAAAATCATAGTACGCCCTTGTTTTGTCCAAAAATTAAGATCATTTTCGAACTCCTCATTATTTTTGCATCAATCTGACTTCCTGCATTCTTTCCGTCAGAAAAACATAGCTCGCGTAAAGAAATAAGAATAATTTACTTGTACCTACTTATTTGTGGCAAACGAAAATATTTTGAACTAAGTAGTAGGTTAGTACGCTTTTTAGTATCTGAAATATAGCTCGTGAATTGAGAGGTTTATGGCATCTGTACATATGCACTTTTCTTCTTGAAATGAGTTAGGGAACCGTATCCTTCATTTGCAGCAATCAATTGAACTATACCCTGAAGAATGAATAAGAATTTGGTATGGGTCCAGCTTGAATTTTTGATCATTTATTACAGTTGTATCGTTCACCGTTCACCAAGTCAAGTCCTCAAAGGTTGTTCCAATAGTGTAATGATTGTATGGCTTATGGCTCTTCATTAAAAATAACCTAATGACAGTCATCGGCCACCAAAAGATATACCCAAATTGTTCACCCTGGAACTTTTTTAATCCTTGTCCGATTTCTGTGAAATTTTAATCAATCGTAAATTCGTGTCCCGGAATGTTTGTGTGTTTATTTTTATGTTCTGGTTCCCACGAATAGGGATATCCTGTAATGTTCAGAGAACATCGTGAGAACTAAGGGAAATGAGGTAGGAATTGGTCTCCATAAATTTCTGGAGGTTATATGCCTCGGGGAACATCTCCCTTGGCATCGTGTTCCAGGTCCTCGCTGTTCGTTGGATGAACGAGTCTTTGGGAAGAGATGTTCTGCAGGTCTCCAAAGTGACCACGAAGGGGTGCGAAGCCCCCAACTCGACGGGTTAATCTCGCGGGGACTGCCAAGGGAGGTACAATTGTTGATATTTCAGAAGAGTATCGTCCATGAAAATATCTATAAAATAAAGCAAGATCGCCAACTTTACTACGGTGTTCCAGAGAAATGAGTGAGTTTGTGAGTGAGGCATCACCCACGAGACGAATTGCCCTCTTTTGGACAGAATTCAACAGTTTCGGGGTATTTTTGGGTGCCGCGCTCCAAATATGGGAACAGTATTCCAGGACAGGTCGAATCTGTGCCTTATAGATCATAAGCAGCTGACTGGGAGTGAAATAGCACCTGGCCTGAAACAGAAAACCAAGTTTATGGGATGCACTGTTATCAATTGATCTCACGTGATTTTCTCGAGAAAGGTTATTGCTGATTGTAATAACAAGCATCGAAATGAATGTCTTCAAAGGTATGGTTACTCCTGACATGCTCATGTTTGGCACAGTGAGATCGGCTTTTCTAGAGAGAAGGCATGCTTGTGTTTTGTTTGCATTGAAATCTACCAAGTTATTGGATCCCCACTCGAGAATTGTTGCCAAGTCCATATTTATGTTGTCAACATTTCTTCCTCGTTCGTTTCTGATTTGCCTGGCTGGTATTGGAGCCCTGAAAGAGAGGACGGTATGGAGGGTACAATCATCCGCGAAGCTGTGTACTGAACATGGAGTTGCTTCCAACAAATCGTTGATATGGGGTAGAAATAGTGTTGGTGCTAGAATTGAACCTTGCGGAAAACCAGCATTTATGATGAGAGAGTCAGATGAAACTCCGTCGACCACTACATGGAGAGACCTGTTTGAGAGGAAACTAGTTCGCAGAGAGCATAGCTTGGGAGGCAAGCCATAAGATGGAAGCTTGGCGAGGAGTCCATAATTCAATGTT